GTTCTTTGAAGATAGATCCTCAGCTAGAATACTGGCTTGTTCTTCCAATAATGCTAAATTGTTCTTAATAATGGGACCATACGTATATATCGCTATATCAGACGCGAATTTCAAAATTTTTACTCCAGTGGAGATTCGATCGTCTAAGTTATTAATATGTATAGAAAATAAAGTAGGATTCAGGATACTGCCTTGCAGAAAATCTTTGGGTAGATGATGTGATGTTATTCGGAAAATTGATAAAATAGATGCTTCACTCCGAAACTGTTACTACTGACGTTTATGACATGAACGGAATCATCAGGGTTGCCTAGCAACTAACTAACTATTGATTTAAAAATTGACTCTTAGCTGCTTCTCTTATCATCTGACATTAGAATTTCTTGAATCAAATAAGAGTCAGCTGCTTCCCTTAACATCTCACATTACAATTCCTTGAATCAAACAAGAGTCTTGTTTTTTCTTTTGGAAAACATAATAAAAACCAAATTTGTGCAACAAATGCTACTAGGTATCTAACTAATTCAAGGTCAATCAAATATTTTGTTAGAATTTCTGGACTGACACTATCATAGGTCTCCTTGATATTCAAGAATAAAATTGCTACATGCTCCTTTTTGTAGAACTGCTTGTGAATATTCGATGTTAACAAAGCTAATCTATTTATGCACGATCTATTCATTCTGAAGCCATATTATGTATTGTGTAATATTTGATTGTGTTCTAACCACCACTGTAATCTCTTGTTAAGAATTTTTTTCAATAGTTTCAAAAAGCAAGAGGACATACTAATAGGCCTGACCTGTTTATCATTTGCCTTTGGAATAAAGGAGCATAAGTATTCTTTCCATTCAGCCGGAAAATATCGAGTAATTAGAACATCGTTATATATGTCTAAGATGACTCTTTTTACAATTTCCAGTAACCTATTTACCATCTGATCAAATTTGACCCGGACTGGTCCATTTAAACCGCGCGCGTAAATTGAATCGATAAAAATTTTTTTTTCTAGATTGGTACAACCTTCTCCGACATTCGTGTGAAATTTGAGCGGGATACGTCAGTTAGTGTGTGTTTGGCAGCCATTTGTTTACGACGCAAAAAGTTTCTCTGGCGATTTTTACTATAAAAAAAAAATTTAACAACGAGTTTGCTTGAAATTTTGTGTTTCCAATGGAATTACGGCTACGGAATCATTGAAAATGTTGCAGAAGTGTTTTGGGGAGTCTACTCTATCGAGAACGCAAGTATTTGAGTGGCATAAAGCATTCAGTGAGGGTCGTGAGGTCGTAGAAAACTTGTCTCATGCGAGTCGTCCATCCACCTCTCTGTTAACGACGATAACATGGAAAAAGTGAAGGAAATTGTATACGGTCAATAAGGAATACTACTTGGCCGTTTTGAGGCGTCTACGTGAAGCAATTCGTCGTAAACGGCCGGATTTGTGGGCAGACAATTCATGGATTTTTCACCACGATAATGCGCCGTCACATTCCAGCCTGATTGTAACTGAATTTTTGGCCAAACACGAAATAAAAGTCATCGCTCAGACACCGTATTCGCCAGATTTGGCTCCCTGTGACTTTTTTCTGTTTCCGAAACTCAAATATCCGCTCCGGGGAACGCGTCATGAATCGATTGAGGCCATAAAAAGAAATTCGCTGAAGGAACTAAAGGCCATCCCGGCCGAGGCCTATAAGAAGTGTATGGAAAATTGGATTAATCGTTGGCATGCTTGTATTGGCTCAGAAGGAGGCTATTTTGAAGGCGATCATAAAGATTTGTATTAAAATACATAAAATTGTTGTTTTTTTTAACCAGTCCGGGTCAAATTTGATCAGATGGTATTATTACATAGTTGATTTTATCATAGCCTAGTGCAGAATTTTTATTAACGCTTTTGATGACTAAGGAAAACTCTGAAAAATTAATAAGCGAGTCCAAAAAGTGGTCGTCTCCATCGGCACGATTCATATTAGGAATATCACACCTTCTTCCGGCGAGGCAGAGATCCTCTATGCATTTTTTCATATTTTTAATCATCTTTACATTATTTTCATAAGAAGTTGATCTGGAGAAACTGTTATTAAAAGATTTAACTTTATTATATAAACACATACTTGCAGTTATTGTTCCTATTTAATGTTTCGTAGAATGCTTTAAATGTTTTCTTTTTTTCATCTCTCAGAATAACTTTAGTTGAAGCCTCGATCTTTTTATTAAACTCTTCCCTCGTGAATCTATATTGTTGGGACAACTACTTAGCATTCTTTTGTCTTACAGCTTTCTTATATGTCTCGTTCCATCACACTTGATTTACGCTTACCTCCTTGGGAGCTATATTTATTGTTGTCGAGTCTTATGTTCCTTTTTCTCCGGCACTGTAAGGACTCCACTGCTGTCACGATCTGTTCTAATACAAACGTATATCTTTCGCAAGCATTAAAACTAGTAAACTCCGAATTAAAAATACTATGGTTTTCAGAAGTTTTTAAATAACATCCAATCCATACGATTAATATTATATTTAAAGATTCTTAGGAATAGAATTTGTAGGAGTCTCCAGCTCACACAATAGTAATTGGAATGTGATCACTCCTCCAATTGTCTCGCTTCACTCTCTCGCAAGGCAAGGGCAGGGCTCACAATTAATAGATCGATGCAAGAGTTACTAGTATCTGGGCCTGAAAAATGAATAACATTGCCATCATTCAGGAAAATATATTGCTCTGGATCAGTAAAATTCAAAATTGTATTGCCATTTGCATTGTTAGTTTTGTTGCCCCATGCAACATAATGGGCGTTGAAATTACCCCCGATAAGAAAGAGATTCTCAATGGACTGGATAGATTGTAAAAAATTCACCCATTCATTAGCTTTAATATTGTTATACTGTGAAGGGCGTCTATAGCACGCTACTAATTTCTCCCATCGAGGAAAAGACGCACACAGTGCCCTCAAAAGCTTCTGGAACAAAATCTAATTGGATAGTTTTTAAAATTACGTCCTTCTTAATAAGAAAAGCGATACCTCGTTGATTGTTTAGTCAAACCAAACCGTCTCAAATTCCTTCAAGAAGAATGAAGATTTAAGATATGTTTCTGTAATCATAAAAATATTCCAGTTTACAGCATATTTTTTCAGCTCGAATAACTTATCTTCTAAGGCTATAACAGATTTTAATATTATCCTAATTAGATATTGTATAAAAATTAAAATAGATTATACAATAAAGTTAGCTTTTAATGTTATTTTTCTATCGAATGCTTAAAATCTTACTCTTATTGCCATACGTTTTGATGCCATTCGTCAGGTCGGCTAGGGAAGAGTGTTTTAATTGATCCGTTGCTGTCCCAGAACAATAAGTCTTAAAGTTAGCTTCCTTCTTATTTGTGATGTCCTTAAGAGTAGCTTAATCAGATATCGCAAAAAGATTATTAAGAATTTTTTACACATTCAGTTTATGAAACATTGTATCAACAACAGTATCACTCCGCAACATTAGAATACCATCAATAACTGGCAAATTAAGCTACATAATCATAGATCTAATTATAAGTTTTCTCATTATAAAAAAATTATGATAAAAAGTGTTATATATTGAGCGCAATGACGCGTACAGGCAAATGGACTTTTACAGAAGGTCTCTTTTTCATGTGGTGAGCAGGTTTTCTCGCTGTCTTCCTACGAGAATTTGTGATGAATTTCTCCATACGCAGGAGAAATTGTGCAATCGTCTTTTTGAAAAAGAGAAAAAAAGATTAGAATTAAAATTCCTGTGGCTGTGCGATAAGAAAGAAGCACAGACTAGAGTCAATATCATCCCGATATACTCGGTTCTTTCTACTCCTAGTTCTCATGATGATTCTACATTGCATGTTAATAACCCTTCTTTTAGTTTGTCTCCTAATTCCTTGATTTCCATACATCCCGACTTCTTCCCTTCACATAGATCATCTTCCTTGTCCACCGTTAGAGACGGATGGTTCCTAAACTTATCTTCCTTTGATATTCCAATTAACATACAATGTTTGTTGCAATTAGATGAAAATTTCGCTCTTCCGTTCAACAAAGACAAGATTATTTTTGATTGTATAAAGAACATTGAGAGTAGCACACAAAGAATGTCCATTGATAAAAAAATTGCTGTCACGAACCATTTGATTTCAATTTTGAATAATATCATCTCTTCTCCGATTTTCACATTACCAGACAAACTGTTACTGAAAATGAAGTCTGATACACGTAACTTTGAGTCGGCGCATCTTAACATTATTTTTACACACGCGGATAAAGGCACCAGTTGCTTTGGACAAAGACACATACTTGAACAAAATGACCACTTTATTGAGTGACGTAGACACATATGTTCTGATCAAAAAAGATCCTACTAAGAAATTCACGACGGCTTTAAGGTCCATACTCACCAGATGGAAAACAAAAAATTATATTAGTGACACTAAATACAGAACGTTATACTCGTATTGTAGTGATGGATCACTACCGAGTGTCTATGGATTGCCTAAGATTCATAAACCTGGTTGTCGTTTAAGAGTCATCGTTTCTTCGATAGATAGTCCGCTGTATCCATTGGCTACATTTTTACATAACATACTATTCAAAACCATTCCTAAAGCGAATACCATCTGATCAAATTTGACCCGGACTGGTCCATTTAAACCGCGCGCGTAAATTGAATCGGTAAAAATTTTTTTTTTCTAGATTGGTACAACCTTCTCTGACATTCGTGTGAAATTTGAGCGGGATACGTCAGTTAGTGTGTGTTTGGCAGCCATTTGTTTACGACGCAAAAAGTTTCTCTGGCG